TATATATTATAATCACTTACTTATAATTTAATTTCATTTTTAAATAATTCTAATATATTTTTAATTATTAAATTAAAAATTTAATTTTTATATAAAATTTTAAAACATTAAAATTTATAAATTAAATAAATATTCAGTCTTAATTTTTTATTTTAATATTTAATTTTTATTTAATATATAATTTTTTAATAAAAATAATATTAAATATACCTTTTTAACTATTAAATTAAAAATTTAATTTATTTATTTTATATATATATATATAAAGAACGTTAGGATTATATATTTAAAAAATATATAATCCTTTATTTATCCTATACCTTAATATTTAATTAATATTATTTTATATAACTTTTAATTATTAAATTAAAGATTTAATTTTAATATATATATATATATATATATATATATATATTAAAGAACGTTAAGATTATATATTTAAAAAATATATAATCCTTTATTCTCCTATACCTTAATATTTAATTAATATTATTTAATATAACTTTTTTAATTATTAAATTAAAAATTTAATTTTAATATGTATATATATATATATATATATATATATATATATATATATATTAAAGAACATTAGGATTATATACTTAAAAATATATAATCCTTTATTTCTCCTATACCTTAATATTTAATTAATATTATTTTATATAACTTTTAATTATTAAATTAAAAATTTAATTTATTTATATTTATATATATATATATATATATTAAAGAACGTTAAGATTATATATTTAAAAAATATATAATCCTTTATTCTCTCATACCCTTAATATTTAATTATTATTTAATATAACTTTCTTAATTATTAAATTAAAAATTTAATTTATTTATATTTATATATATATATATTAAAGAACGTTAGGATTATATATTTAAAAAATATATAATCCTTTATTCTCCCATACCCTTAATATTTAATTATTATTTAATATAACTCTTAATTATTAAATTAAAAATTTAATTTTAATATATATATATATATATATATATATATATATATATATATATTAAAGAACGTTAGGATTATATATTTAAAAAATATATAATCCTTTATTCTCTTATACCCTTAAAATTAAATTTTTTATATTTAATATAAAATTTTTTAATTATTAAATTAAAAATTTAATTTTAATATATATATATATATATATATATATATATATATATATATATATATATATATTAAAGAACATTAAAATTATATATTTAAAAAAATATATAATCCTTTATTCTCTATACCCTTAATATTTAATTTTTATTTAATATATAATTTTCTTAAAAAATAATATTATTTAATATAACTTTCTTAATTAATAAATTAAAAATTTAATTTTAATATATATATATATATATATATATATATTAAAGAACATTAAGATTATATACTTAAAAATATATAATCCTTTATTTCTCCTATACCTTAATATTTAATTAATATTATTTTATATAACTTTTAATTATTAAATTAAAAATTTAATTTATTTATATTTATATATATATATTAAAGAACATTAGGATTATATATTTAAAAAATATATAATCCTTTATTCTTCCATACCCTTAATATTTAATTATTATTTAATATAACTTTCTTAATTATTAAATTAAAAATTTAATTTTAATATATATATATATATATATATATTAAAGAACGTTAGGATTATATATTTAAAAAAATATATAATCCTTTATTCTCTTATACCCTTAAAATTAAATTTTTTATTTAATATAAAATTTTTTAATTATTAAATTAAAAATTTAATTTTAATATATATATATATATATATATATATATATATATATATATATATATATAATCCTTTATTCTCCTATACCTTAATATTTAATTATTATTTAATATAACTTTCTTAATTATTAAATTAAAAATTTAATTTTAATATATATATATATATATATATATATATATATATATATATTAAAGAACGTTAGGATTATATACTTAAAAATATATAATCCTTTATTTCTCCTATACCTTAATATTTAATTAATATTATTTTATATAACTTTTAATTATTAAATTAAAAATTTAATTTATATATATATATATATATATATATATATATATATATATATATATATTAAAGAACATTAAAATTATATATTTAAAAAATATATAATCCTTTATTCTCTCATACCCTTAATATTTAATTATTATTTAATATAAATTTCTTAATTATTAAATTAAAAATTTAATTTATTTATTTATTTATATATATATATATATATATATATATATATATTTAAAAAATATTATAATCCTTTATTCTCCTATAACCCTTAATATTTAATTTTTATTTAATATAAAATTTTTAATAAAAATATATTTAATACAACTTTTTTAATTATTAAATTAAAAATTTAATTTTAATAAACAAATTTAAAAATATAAATAAATATTAAATACTTTATTTAATAATTATTTAAACTTTAATTTATATTTAAATAATTATTATAAAAAATTATTTAATAATTTCTTAATTATTTAATAATTTTAATTTAATTTAACAAAATATAAATAATTAAATAATTAAATTAATTTAAAATAATAAATTCAATTTTAAAATTATATATATATATATATATATAATTTATTTTAATCTTATTTAATAGTTACAATAAAACATTAAATTTTCAATTTAAATACATTTTTATAAATTTAAATATATGTTAAAAAAATACAAATATAAAATTATATTCAAACTTATAAAAAATTGAAAAAAATATAAAGTTCCTTATATTAAAATATTTTATATTATTTGCTATTGTATTCTAGTAGATAATTTTAATATTAGATCTTTAATAATTTATCATTATCTTTTTGAAAATTAATTTTCACAAAAAATTAATTTAATTTATTTCATTATACTTTATTTTAAATGATATATATATATATATATATATATATTATTCACAATTTTAAATTTTAAATTCATTAAAATTTAAATTTAATATTTATTTAATTTATAAATATTAAAAAAATTATTCTATATTTAATTTTAATACAAAATTCCTTAATTTTCTTAATTTTCTTAATTTTCTTAATTTTCTTAATTTTCTTAATTTTCTTAATTTTATAATTTTATTATATATATATATATATATATATATATATATATATAAATAAATTAAAATTTTTTAATTTGGATATTAGTTAATTTTATAACATTTAAATTGCAATTAAAAATAAATTTTAAATTATATCTTTATAAATAAACTAAATTTAAGTTATTAGACTCATGATCTAAATATAGATTAATTTCTTTTATAAATTTTTAAAATTATATTATAATTTATATATCTACTAATTTTTTTAGTTCCTTAAAATTCAAATTTTTAAATGCTTTTACACTAAGATATATTTAATATATATATATATATATATATATTAGATATAAATAAAACAATATGCCTGATAAAAGGATTATTTTGATAGAATATATATGTATAATATTTATACTATTGTTAAATAATTTAAATTAAATTTAATTATAAATTATTTATAAAAATTTCCCAATTAAATATTTTTATTAAACTTTCCCTTATTTCACTTTCATTATCTATTTTTTTTCTAGAAAATATTTTTATAAAATGAATAATTTTAGAATTTTTTTCTCTTATTTTTATCGGATATTTAAATTTTAATAATATAAATAAAATTCCCAGATTAATTTATTTTTTTATCTCTAGAATTTCTAGATTACTAATTTTTATAAATTTTATTTATTCAATAAATTATTTAATTATTCAATTAAAAACTAATACTAATTTAATCTTAATATTTAGATTATTCTTAAAATTAGGAATTTTTCCTTTTAATGTATGAATAATTTATACATTTCCTTTCCTCTCTTGAAACGAAATTTTTTTTTTTTCCACATTTGCAAAAATTATCCCTATTAATTTAATTAGATTTTCTATTTACTTTAATTCTTATTTATTAATATTTTTAACTATAAATAGAATTATTGCTTCTATTTTTATTATAGAAGAAATAAATTTAAAAAAAATTCTAATTTTTTCCTCAATAAATCATTCTTCTTACTTAATTTTTATTTCATTTCTTAATTCTCAAACATTTATTTTTTATTTTATTATTTATTTATTAAATACATTTTTATTACTTTATTTACTTGAAAAAATAAATTTTAAAAATAAAATTTTCACTTTAAATTTAAATAGAATAAAAAATTTTAACTATCTTTTTATTATTATTATTTTTTCTTATAGAATATTACCCCCATTTAGTTCTTTTATAGCAAAATGATTTTTTTTTAATGAAAATATTTTAATTCAAAAATCTATTTTCTTTTTAATTATTTTAGCAATTTCTAGAGTTATCATAACATGAAGTTATTTAAATATTATTAACTATCAACTTACTTTATCAAAATTAACTAAAAAATCTTGATTAAAATTCCCAAAATTCTATTTCAAAAATAATTTTAATTTAATTTTAACCTTTTCTTTGATTTTTTTTTTTAATTTTTATCTATTAATTTTTTAGTATTAGAAAATTTATTTCATTATTAAATTTACAATTTAACCCTTTAATCAGGCATAATACTTATAAAGATTTTAAGTTAACAATAAACTATCAACCTTCAAAGTTGAAAATATAATATTTTTAAATCTTAATTAAATGGTTTTATTCTACTAATCATAAAGATATTGGAATTCTTTATATAATATTTGCTTTATGATCTGGAATAATTGGATCAGCAATAAGAATTATTATTCGAATAGAATTAAGTATTCCAGGATCATGAATTTCTAATGACCAAGTCTATAATTCTTTAGTTACAGCTCATGCTTTTTTAATAATTTTTTTTCTCGTAATACCATTTTTAATTGGAGGATTTGGAAATTGATTAATTCCCTTAATATTAGGAATTCCGGATATAGCTTTTCCCCGAATAAATAATATTAGATTTTGACTTTTACCCCCATCTTTAATAATTTTACTTTTAAGAAATTTTTTAAATCCAAGTACAGGAACAGGATGAACTGTATATCCTCCTTTATCTTCAAATTTATATCATTCTTCACCCTCAGTAGATTTAGCAATTTTTTCTTTACATATTTCAGGATTATCTTCTATTATAGGTTCACTAAATTTTATTGTTACAATTATCATAATAAAAAATATTTCCTTAAAACATATACAATTACCTCTATTTCCTTGATCTGTTTTTATTACAACTATTCTTTTACTTTTTTCCTTACCAGTATTAGCTGGTGCTATTACTATATTATTATTTGACCGAAATTTTAATACATCTTTTTTTGACCCAACTGGAGGAGGAGACCCAATTCTTTATCAACATTTATTTTGATTCTTCGGCCACCCAGAAGTTTATATTCTAATCCTTCCAGGATTTGGATTAATCTCCCAAATTATTTCTAATGAAAGAGGAAAAAAAGAAACTTTTGGAAATATTGGAATAATTTATGCTATATTAAGAATTGGACTTTTAGGTTTTATTGTATGAGCTCATCATATATTTACTGTTGGATTAGATGTAGATACTCGAGCTTATTTTACCTCAGCTACTATAATTATTGCAATTCCAACAGGAATTAAAGTTTTTAGATGATTAGCAACATATCATGGCTCTAAATTAAAAATAAATATATCAATTATATGAACTCTAGGATTTATTTTTCTTTTTACTATAGGGGGATTGACAGGAATTATATTATCTAATTCTTCTATTGATATTATCTTACATGATACATACTATGTTGTAGGACATTTTCATTATGTTTTATCTATAGGAGCTATTTTTTCTATTATAGCTGCTATTATTCATTGATTCCCTATAATTATTGGACTTTCTATAAATCAATTTTGATTAAAAATCCAATTTTTCTTAATATTTATTGGAGTTAATATAACTTTTTTTCCTCAACATTTTTTAGGAATAATAGGAATACCACGTCGATATTCAGATTATCCAGATTCTTATATATGTTGAAATTTATTTTCCTCTATAGGATCTTTAATTACTTTAAACAGAATTATTATAATAATTTATATTATTTTTGAAAGATTATATTCAAAACGAATAATTTTATTTAAATTTAATCAAACAGCCTTAGAATGAATTATACATAATCCTCCTTTAAATCATTCTTACAGGGAAATTCCATTAATTTTAAAAATTTAATTTAATATGGCAGATTAGTGCAATGGATTTAAGATCCATATATAAAATTATTTAATTTTTATTAAAAATTTCTTCATGATATATATATTCATTTCAAGATTCAAATTCCCCTTATTCAGATAATCTTATATCATTTCATAACTTTACTATAATATTTATAATTATAATTATCTCAACTACACTTTTTATATTAATAGATATTTTTAATAATAAATTTATTAATCGATTTCTCTTAAAACATCATACTATTGAAATTATTTGAACTATTATTCCAACAATTATTCTTTTATTTATTTGTTTTCCATCTTTAAAAATTTTATATTTTACAGATGAATTATGAAACCCAATTTTTTTTACAGTAAAGAGTATTGGACATCAATGATACTGAAGATATGAATATCCTGAATTTAATAACTTTGAATTTGATTCTTATATAAATAAAAACTTTGAATATAATTCTTTCCGATTATTAGATGTAGATAATCGTATAATTATTCCCTTTAAAATCTCAATTCGAATATTAACTACTTCTACAGATGTTATTCATGCTTGAACTATTCCTTCTATAGGAGTAAAAAGAGATGCAACCCCAGGTCGAATTAATCAAATAAATATTCTTGCTTTACGACCTGGACTTTTTTTTGGTCAATGTTCGGAAATTTGTGGTATAAATCACAGATTTATACCTATTGTTTTAGAATCTACATCTTATAAAAATTTTATAAATTGAATTAAAAATTCTACTTAAAGAAATTAGTTAAATTAAATAATAACATTAATTTGTCAAATTAAAATTAATTTCCTTCAAAATTATTTCTTAAATTTTATCATTAAGTGTCTGAAACAAAATAAGAATTGATCTTTTAAATCAAATATAGTATTTATTACTCTTAATGAAAACTTTATACCACAAATAAGACCTAGATATTGAATATTAATTTCTATCTTTGAATTATTAATTTTTTTCATATTAATCTTTAAAATTTATTTTTTTCCAATTAATTTAAAAATTTATTTTCCTAAAAAATCCTTTAAAACCCATAAATTATTTAATTGAAAATGATAATAAATCTTTTTGAAATTTTTGACCCAACTACAAGAATATATTTTTCTTTAAATTGAATTAATTCTATATTAATTTTTATTATTCTACCTTTAAATTTTTGAATTATTCCGTCCCGATTTGAAATATTATTTATTTCAATTTCTAAAATTATTTTTTCTGAATTTAAAAGCTTAACAAAAAAAAAATATAAAATAAATATTTTAATTTTTTTTAGATTAATAATCTTTATTGCATTAAGAAATTTTATAGGATTATTTCCTTATATTTTTACTTCAACAAGTCATATATCATTTAATTTAATTATTGCTTTATCTTCTTGAATAAGATTTTTTATTTATAGGTGATGAAATAAACCATTAAATATATTAATTCATTTAGTTCCTTTAAATACACCCCCTGCTTTAATAAATTTTATAGTAATAATTGAATTAATTAGAAATATTATTCGACCTTTTACTTTAGCAATTCGATTAACTGCAAATATAATTGCAGGACATCTACTATTAACTCTTTTAGGCACATTTATTTCTAAATTCTTAATTTTACTACCTATCACAATTTTAATTCAAAATTTATTAATAATTTTAGAAATTGCAGTTTCTATAATTCAAGCATATGTATTTTCTATTCTTTCTTTATTATATTTTTTAGAATCTAAAAATTAATGTCAATCTATTATAATCATCCTTTTCACTTAGTTACTAATAGACCCTGACCTATTATAAACGCTTTTAATTTAATAAATTTATTATTAAGATTAGTAATATGATTCTTTTACTTAAATTTTTTTTTAATTTTTATTAATTTTATTATCTTAATCTCTTCTATATTTTTTTGATGACGAGATATTATTCGAGAAAGAACTTTTCAAGGATTTCATACATTTTTAATTTTAAAACTAATAAAATTTAGAATAATCTTATTTATTATTTCAGAAATTTTTTTTTTTATTTCATTATTTTGAACTTATTTTCATTCAATAAGTTCCCCAAGAATAGAAATTGGTTTACTTTGACCTCCTAAAAATATTATCATATTCAATCCATTTAGAATCCCCTTATTAAACTCATTAATTTTAATTTCTTCAGGAATTTCCTTAACTTGAAGTCACAATAGATTATTAAATAAAAATTATATAGAAAGAATAATTTCTCTAATAATTACTATCATTTTAGGAATATATTTTTCTTTTCTTCAATTTATTGAATATAGAGAAGCTCCATTCTGCTTTAATGATAGAATTTTTGGATCTATTTTCTTTATAACAACAGGATTTCACGGATTACATGTAATTATTGGAATTATTTTCTTATTTATTACATTAATCCGATTAATTAATCTACATTTTTCTACAATCCATCATTTTAACTTTGAAGCAGCATCTTGATATTGACATTTTGTAGATGTAGTTTGATTATTTTTATATATTTCAATTTATTGATGAATATTTTAAATATATATATATATATAGTATAAACTTAATTACATTTAATTTCCAATTAAAAAATTTATAAAATTAATATATATAATTTTTAATATTATATTTTTATTTTATTTTATAATAATTATTACTTCTATACTTATATTAATTAATTTTTATTTAAGAATATATAAACCATTAAATCGAGAAAAAATTACCCCATTTGAATGTGGATTTAATCCCCAATCAAACTCCCGTCTCCCATTTTCCACACAATTTTTTCTAATTACTTTACTATTCTTAATTTTTGATATTGAAATTATCTTAATTTTACCATCTATTTTTTTAATAAAATTTAAATCTATTTTTTTAATATTAATTATTTTAATTTTTATTTTTTTAATAATTATAAGTTTACTTATTGAATGAAGTTATAGATTATTAAATTGAATTTTTTAATATATGGACTAAAAAAGTCTAATATTAAGCCGAAATTAATTGTAAAAATTACTTCATATATTTATATATATATATATATATATATATATATATATATATTAATATTAATTGAAGCTAAAATAGAAGCAATTTATTGTTAATAAATTTATTGAATTATAATTCCAATTAAAGAAATAAATTTAAATAGAACTTCTAATTCTAAATTTAATATTTTATATATTATTATTTCTAAATAATTTTTATATAGTTTAATAAAACTTTATATTTTCAGTATAATATTAATAAATATAAATTTATTTATAAAATTATATTTATAAAAATTTTATTTAAAAATATTAAAATTACCTTAATATCTTCAATATTATGCTCTTTTCTTAAGCTATTTAAATTTTAAATTAAAAAAATAAAAATTAATATTATTAATAAATTAGTTAATAATATATTCATAAAATTATATTCATTTAACTTATATTTAAATAAATAAAATTTCAATTTTATAAATTTAATCTTAAATTCAAATAAATTTTTTTCATGAATATTTTCATACAATATAACCATATTTAAAGGTAAATCATAGTACAAATAAATTTTTTCAATATAAAATATTGTTCTTATAAAATTTCCTATTATTAAATTTTTATAAGAATTAAAATAAAAAAATTGTCCAATCAAAATTCCACATAAAATTAATTTTATCACCATAATTTTTAAATTTATTGTTAATACAATTAAATAATTCAAATTAAAAATTTTAAAATATAAATATCCAATAAAAAAAATAGTTATTAATAAAATAAATATACAAAAATTTACCAAAATACCTTCTTTCTTAATTAAATTAACATAATAATTTTTTTTAAAAAATAAAATAAATATAATTAATCGAATAGAATAAGATACAGTAAAAATTGTAGAAAAAATTAAAAATATTATTCTAATTATATTTATTTTTCTTAAAAAAATTAATTCCATAATTATATCTTTAGAAAAATATCCTGATATAAAAGGAAATCCTATTAAACATATTAAAGAAAAAATTAAAACTATAGTTTTAAAAGGATAAATATAAATTATACCACCATAACATCGAATATCTTGATTTCTATTAAAATTATGAATAAATCTTCCAACACATAAAAATATTAAAGATTTAAATAAAGCATGAATTACTAAATGAAAAAAAGCTATTTCCCAAAATCCTAATCTTAAAATTCTTATTATTAATCTTAATTGACTTAAAGTCGATAAAGCAATAATTTTTTTAAAATCAAATTCATAATTTGCAATTAAACCCGCTATAAATATAGTTAACCTAGAAATTAATAAAATATATTTATTAAAACATCCTAAAAACAAAAATTTATTATATCGAATTAATAAATAAACCCCAGCTGTAACTAAAGTTGAAGAATGAACTAAAGATGAAACAGGTGTAGGAGCTATTATCGCAGCAGGTAATCATAAAGTAAATGGAATTTGAGCTCTTTTTGTAAAAGCTACTAATACTAATAAAATTAATATTAATAAATTAAATTTATAAATTATTAAATTTCACCTCCCATATATTATTCTTATAGTAATTATTAATAAAATTCCTACATCCCCTACACGATTTCTAAAAATTGTTAATATACCAGCATTATAAGCTTTATCATTTTGATAATAAATAATTAAACAATAAGAAATTAACCCTAAACCATCTCATCCTAATAAAATCGTTAAAAATCTAGGTCTCAAAATTATAAAATATATAGATACTACAAACAAAATTACTAAAATAATAAATCGATTTATAAATTTATCCCCCTCTATATAATAAATTCTATAAATTAATACAACTATAGAAATAAGTGAAACTAACATTAAAAATATTATTCTATAAAAATCTAAATAAATAAAAAAAGAAAATTTTATTCTATTATATCTATAAATCATTCATTCTAAAATAATTAAATTCCTATTAAAAAAAATAATTATTATAAATAAAAAAGAAAATATCATAAATACAAATAATATATATACAAATATAATTAAAATAATTTAAAGTACTTAATTTACATCTTTGAATCCACATTTCAAAATTTTTTTTAAACTATTTAAATTAAATAAAAATTCTTAAATTTAAAATAACTACATTTAAAGGAATTCAATGAAATAATAAAATTAAATAATTAATTAATTTTCCTCTTCTTATTCTTTTATAAAAAAAATTCTTTCCATGAACAATAAATCTAAAAAAATATAAAGAATACATAAATCTAATTAAACAATAAAAAAATAATTTAATTATTAATAATCTTATTCAATTAATTAATCTTATTAATAAAAAAATTTCCCCGACTAAATTTAAAGAAAAAGGAGCAGCTATATTTGAAGAACATATTAAAAATCATATTAATGATATAGAAGGTATAAAAATTAAAACACCCTTATTAATAATTATCAATCGTCTATGAGTCTCCAAATAACATAAATTTAATAAATAAAATAATCCAGATGAACACAACCCATGAGCAATTATTATTAAATATGAACCTAAAAATCTTAATTTTCTTATAGTAAATATAGAAGCTATTAATAAATTTATATGAACAACAGAAGATATTGCTACTAAAATTTTTATATCAATTTGTCGAAAACAACTCAATCTTAAAATAATCCTACCCAATAATCCAATTTCAATAAAATATTTATTTATTTCTAAAAAATTTTGAAAAAAAATCATTATTAATCGTAATAATCCATAAGACCCTAACTTTAATAAAATTGCAGCTAAAATTATTGACCCAAATACAGGAGCTTCTACATGAGCTTTTAATAACCAACCATGAATTATATATATTGGTATTTTTACTAAAAATCCTATAATTAAATATAAAAATAAAATTTTATTTAACTTAAATTTTATTATTTCTAATAATAAAAATCTTAAAGATCCTATTAAATTAAATAAATAAAATAATACTAATAATAAAGGTAATGAAAAAAATAAAGTATAAAATATTAAATAATACCTTGCATAAATTCGTAAAAATCCTATTCCTCATTTTATAATAAAAAAAAAAATAATTAATAAACTTACTTCAAAAAAAAAATAAAATATTAATATATTTATCCTAAAAAAATTTATTACTAAAACAATTAATATTAATATTAATAAATTTAAACATAAAATCAAATTTTTTTCCTGATTAATTCTCATGAATACTAATCCAAAAATCCATAAAGATATTATAATAATTCCATAAGAATAAAAATTTAACCCAAAATTTAATCTTAAATTAACTCATTCCATAAAAAATCCATTCATTCTTAATATCAAAAAACTCAATAAAAATATTATATTTCTAATAAAATATAACTTTTTATATATATTAAAATTAAAAATTAAAAATCCAACTATAAAAACTATACTTTCTATTATTAACATTTTAAATTTATTATTATAAAACCTTGATTTCCAATAATTCTCAATATTGACACTACAATCGATAATCCTAAAACAGCTTCACAAACAGAAAAAATTAAATAATATATAAATATTCATCTTAAATATTCTAACTCATTTAATATTAAAATTATTAAATTCAATACTACAAAAAATTCCATTCTAATTAAAAATATTAAAAAATACTTATTAATTATTAATATTATTATAAAAATTAAAACTATTAAAATTAAAAAATATCTTTTTAAAATAAATTAGACTTTATAGTTTAAAAAAAAACATTAATTTTGTAAATTAATATTGAAAATTTTTTCTAAAGTCTAATTTCAAAATAATTTTATAAATATCTTTAATTCCCAAAATTAAAATTTTTATTTAAACTATATTTTGTTAATGTTAATATCAAAAATTTTATTTATATTCATAAATCTATTTATTATTACAAATATTTTATTACTTTCTTCACTACATCCAATTACTATTTTATTCTCTTTTATTATTTTCACCTTATCCTCATCTACTTTAATCTTTTTAAATATAAATAACTCAATATACTCTTTTATAATTTCAATTTCTTTAATCGGAGGAATAATAATTATATTTAATTATTTTGTAAGATTAATTAACAATGAAAATTCAAAAATAAAATTTTTTGAACTAATTACCTCTATTAATTTTTTTTTTATTTCTTTTATTATAATAATTCATTTTATTAATTGAATACCAATTTTTATATTTACAGAAAACATAATTTTAAATAATAATTTATTTAAAATTCAAAATATTTATTTTTATCCAATAAATTATTTAACCATTTTTATAATTTTATTCTTATTAATTTGCTTAACTCTTTCATTTAAAATATCTACAATTAAAATAATTCCTCTTCGTAAAATTAAAATTTAATGAAAAATAAATATTTAAAAATTTTTAAATCTAATAAATTTCTTAATATCATTTATTCTTCCTTCAATATTCATCCTACCCCAGTAAATATTAATTATTTATGAAACTTTGGATCAATTTTAGGAATTCTTTTATTAATTCAAATTATTTCAGGCTTCATTTTATCTATACATTATTGTCCAAATATTAATTATGCTTTTGATAGAATTATTCACATTATAAAAAATGTTAATTCTGGATGAATATTTCGTTATATTCATTTAAATGGTGCATCATTTTATTTTCTTTGTATATATATACATATTAGACGAAATATTTTTTATCAATGTTATTCATCTCAACATGTATGAAATATTGGAATTATTATTTTATTAACTTCAATAGGAACTGCTTTTATAGGATATGTTTTACCATGAGGACAAATATCTTTTTGAGGAGCAACAGTAATTACAAATCTTCTTTCTGCAATCCCTTATATTGGACAAACAATTGTAGAATGAATCTGAGGAGGATTTTCTATTAATAATGCTACATTAAATCGATTCTTTTCATTACATTTTATTTTACCATTATTAATCCTAATAATAGTTATTATACATCTTTATTTCCTTCATATAACTGGATCTAATAATCCAATTGGAACAAATAGAAATATTTATAAAATTCCTTTCCACTCATATTTTTCATCCAAAGATATTCTTGGATTTTTTATAATCTTTATATCATTTAGATTTATTATTCTACAAAATCCTAATATATTAAATGATCCTGATAATTGATCTATTGCAAACCCTATAAATACCCCACAACATATTAAACCTGAATGATATTTCCTATTTGCTTATTCAATTTTACGAGCTATCCCTAATAAATTAGGGGGAGTATTAGCTTTAATTTTTTCTATTTTAATTCTTTTTATTCTCCCATTTATAATAAATCATAAATTTAAAACTAATAAATTTTACCCATTAAATAATTTCTTATTTTGATTTTTTATTAATAATTTCATCATTTTAACTTGATTAGGAAGACAACCTATTGATTATCCCTACACTTTAATTAATCTAATTTTTACAAATATATACTTTATATTTTTTTTTTCAAATATATATTTTATAAAATTTTGAGATAAGATCATCTATAATTATTAATTAATGAGTCTGAATAGACATATATTTTGAAAATATATTAAAGAAAAATAACTTTCTATTAATTTAAATATATAAATTTATTAATATTTTTAAAATAAAATTAATATATATATAAATTAAAATAAAAAATAAAAATTTTTTCCAACATATATATATTAATTCATCATATCGAATTCGAGGTATAATTCTTCGAATTCAAATAAAAAAAAAATTATGATATAAAATTATTAACAAAGTAAAAATTGAATAATTAAAATTAAAAAAAATAATTGATATAATCAATCTAATAAATAAAATTATTATATATTCAGCTATAAAAATTAAAGAAAATCTCCCCCTATAATATTCAACATTAAATCCTGAGACTAATTCAGACTCCCCCTCAATTAAATCAAAAGGAGCTCGATTTAATTCAATTATTATTCTAATAATTAATATAAAATATAAAGGAAAAAAAAGAAAAATAAATTTTACATTAAACTGAAATTTAATAAATATCTCCAAAGAAAATCTCTCAATAAATATTATAATAATAAAAAATATAAAAAATAATCTCACTTCAAAAGAAATAGATTGAGAAATAGATCGTAAACACCCTAATATTGAATAAATTGAATTAGATGATCATCCTATTATTATAGTCGGATAAACTCTTAAACTTAATATTAAAAATAAAAATACCAATCCAAATTTAAAATTTATTAAATTTCTAAAATAAGGCATTAATAATCAATAAAATATCGAAATTAATAATATAATTATTGGACCTAATATATATATATATAAATTAATTTTATCCAAATATATATATTCTTTAGAAAACAATTTAATTGCATCAGAAAAAGGTTGTAATAAACCTTTAATTCCTACTTTATTTGGCCCTTTACGAATTTGAATATAACCTAAAATTTTTCGTTCTAATAATGTTAAAAATGCTACCCCAACCAATACTATTACTACAGTAATTAATAAATAAATAAAATTTAAATAAATTATTATCTATAAAATTATATATATATTATTTAAATTCTAAATTTAATGCACTTACTTCTGCCAAGATAATTTAACTTATTAATAATTAATTAAAAATTATTTTTAAAACTTAGTCCTTTCGTACAAAAATCTTAAATCTTTTTAAAGATAGAAACCAATCTGACTCACGTCGATCTGAACTCAAATCATGTAAAATTTTAATAGTCGAACAGACTAAATCTATAAACACCTACATTTATAATTAATTTTAATTCAACATCGAGGTCGCAAACACCTTTTTCAATTTGATCTTTCCAAAAATATTACGCTGTTATCCCTAAGGTAATTTATTTTTATATTATTAATTATATTTCAATTTAAAATTCTATCAATCAATATTTTAAAATTTTAAAGTTAAATAAATTTAAAAATCCTCCCAACTAAATATATTAATACAACTTATAAAATTTATAATATATAAAATTCTATAGGGTCTTATCGTCCCTTAAATAAAATTAAGCATTTTAACTTAAAATTTAAATTTATTTTATATTATTGAGACAGTTTATATTTCATTAATTCATTCATCCCAGCCTTCAATTAAAAGACAATTGATTATGCTACCTTTGTACAGTCAAAATACTGCAGCTATTTAATTCCTCATTGAGCAGAACTGACTTTATATTAAATTCAAAAAGACATGTTTTTGTTAAACAGGTGAATATAATTATTTTGCCTAGTTACTTAAATATATATATTTATATATATTCATAAAATAATTTATACAAATTAAATTACTAATTTAATCATTATATTATAACTAATATTATTAAAATTATTTTTTTTTTAAATCAATATATATAATTAATTTTATTATAATTAAAAATTTATTAATAAATTATTAAATACTCATTAAATTCTTTTAAATTTTAAAATTAATCTTTTTAATTTTAATATAAATTATTATATAAATTTAATTTATAGATTATCCCATAAATTATTTATATTTTCTAAAATAAACTTTTTTATTTAAATTTACTTTAAAAAATATATAAATTAAATTTAATTCAAAAATAACTAGATATCATTAAAATTGAATAACATCTAATCTCTAAATATATATTTATAATTTTTATTCAACAAAAAAAATTTTATATATTTAACTCTTTTAATTTCGAGATATTTAATTTATTAAAAATTTTTAAATTAACCCTGATACAAAAGGTACAAAATTTTACTTTAATTTATAAAATTTTAAAATTTCATTTACATTACTTATATATATAAATATATTTATTATTTCTTAAAATATTACTTTAACATGAAATTTTCATAAAAACTTTTTATAATATACTAATTAAAACAATAAAAAAATTTTATTTAATTAATTAAAATTTTAATAATTAAATTAATCTTTTCAGTGTAATTGAAAAATTTTATTTAAACTAAAATTTTATCTAAGAACATTTTCCAATATTCTTACTTTGTTACGACTTATTTCAAATTTTATTGAAATTGACGGGCAATTTGTACATTATATAAAAAAAAATTCAAATTAATATAACAATTAATTTTACTTTTAAATCCTTTTTATTAAAAATATTAAAACTTCTAACTCAAAAATTATTTATTAATGTAACTCATATTATCTAATAAATACTTTATTTTGATTTGAATTTTTTTTAAATATAAAATTTTAATTATAATATTTATACAAAATTTTTAAACAACAATACAAAAATAATTTATAATATTTTATTAGTACTTATTATCGTGGATCATCAAATTAATATACAAGTTCCCCTAAAATTTTATATAACTGCCATATCTTATAATTTTAATGATTTACATTTAATAATTAATTATTTTTTAAAATTAATATAATAGGGTATCTAATCCTAGTCTTACTTTTTAATCTTTATAATTTCTATTAAATAATTATTAATTATTATAAAATTATCATATTTCACCATTATAAATTTAATTTTATTAATTATTAATTATAAAATTACTATATTTGAAAAAATTAACTCTTAAATCTAGTTTAACCGCTATTGCTGGCACTAAATTTAAATTTAATAAAATTATTTCCCATTAAAAACTTTCATTTTAATTAAAAGTATTATATATTAATTAACTAATAATATTTATTATTTAAATAAATACCCTATATTAAACTTTATATATATTTATAAATAATTTAATTAATTATAAATCTAAAATCAAAATTTTTTCAATAAACTTCAAAAAATTAAATTTAAAATACTTTTTCTATATAAATAAAAATTAATTTATTATACAATTAACTTATAAATTTTAATATATAAATTTATATATATATATATATATATAAACTATACCTAATTTAAATTAAAAATAAATAATAATAAAAATAATTTAAAATTTAAATACAAAAAATCTATATTCATAATTTTAAATCTATTTAATTATACTAAATTAAAATTTATATTTTTATACAAAATTATAAAACAATTTTAAAAATAAAATTTTAATATAAAATTTAAAATACAATTTTTAATATTAATTTTTATTATTTAATAATTCATATTTTCTATATAAATTATAGAACTATCATTTAGATAGTCTTAACGTTCCTAAATAATAAATATTAAAATTAAAAATTATATAACCCAAATAAATTTAAAATACAATTTTTAATATTACTTAATTTTTATTATTTAATAATTCATATTTTCTATATAAATTATAAGACTATCATTTAGATAATCTTAACGTTCCTAAATAATAAATATTAAAATTAAAAATCATATAACCCAAATAAATTTAAAATACAATTTTTAATATTACTTAATTTTTATTATTTAATAATTCATATTTTCTATATAAATTATAGAACTATCATTTAGATAGTCTTAACGTTCCTAAATAATAAATATTAAAATTAAAAATTATATAACCCAAATAAATTTAAAATACAATTTTTAATATTACTTAATTTTTATTATTTAATAATTCATATTTTCTATATAAATTATAAAACTATCATTTAGATAGTCTTAACGTTCCTAAATAATAAATATTAAAATTAAAAATTATATAAACCAAATAAATTTAAAATACAATTTTTAATATTACTTAATTTTTATTATTTAATAATTCATATTTTCTATATAAATTATAAGACTATCATTTAGATAATCTTAACGTTCCTAAATAATAAATATTAAAATTAAAAATCATATAACCCAAATAAATTTAAAATACAATTTTTAATATTACTTAACTTTTATTATTTAATAATTCATATTTTCTATATAAATTATAAGACTATCATTTAGATAGTCTTAACGTTCCTAAATAATAAATATTAAAATTAAAAATTATATAACCCAAATAAATTTAAAATACAATTTTTAATATTACTTAACTTTTATTATTTAATAATTCATATTTTCTATATAAATTATAAGACTATCATTTAGATAGTCTTAACGTTCCTAAATAATAAATATTAAAATTAAAAATTATATAACCCAAATAAATTTAAAATACAATTTTTAATATTACTTAACTTTTATTATTTAATAATTCATATTTTCTATATAAATTATAAGACTATCATTTAGATAGTCTTAACGTTCCTAAATAATAAATATTAAAATTAAAAATCATATAACCCAAATAAATTTAAAATACAATTTTTAATATTACTTAATTTTTATTATTTAATAATTCATATTTTCTATATAAATTATAAGACTATCATTTAGATAATCTTAACGTTCTTAAATAATAAATATTAAAATTAAAAATTATATAACCCAAATAAATTTAAATACAATTTTTAATATTACTTAATTTTTATTATTTAATAATTCATATTTTCTATATAAATTATAAAACTATCATTTAGATAATCTTAACGTTCCTAAATAATAAATATTAAAATTAAAAATCATATAACCCAAATAAATTTAAAATA